ACCCTCTGCTCAGGCAGGAAACCCTATACCATTTCGGACAAATGGCTGTCCAGTCTCTTCTTTAAAACTTCCAGTGTTGGAGCATTCACCCCTTCTGGAGGCAGGTTGTTCCACTGGTTAATTGTTCTAACTGTCAGGAAGTTTCTCCTTAGTTCTAGATTGCTTCTCTCCTTGATTTTGAACAAGCAAAGTCAATGGGGAAGCCAGAATCGCTTAACAACCACGTTACTAAGTTAACAGCCGCAGCGATTCACTTAACAACCGTGGCCCAAAAAAGGAGCGAAGTTCACTTGAAACGTCTCGCTTAGCCACGTCAACGTGGGGCTCCGTTGGTTTCGCGTGGTCGTAAGTCGAGGACTACCTGGCACTTTCCCCCCCCCCTCTGCCAAAGGCTTAAACGTCGCTCCGCCAAAGGGTTAAAACGAGCCGCGCGCCGGCTTCCTAGAGCGGCCCCGGCGTCTGGGTCCGCCGCCTGCGCCTCTGTGTCAGCATGGCGAGAGAGACAGAGAGAGCGAGCGAGAGAGCGTGAGGAGCGTCGGGGGCCCCGCCCTCCCAAGCCCTCGCCTCGAAGCTCCGCCCCTTCCTCACTCTCTGGATTTTGAATTTCTCAACTCGGGGGAGGTTCGGCTTCCTCCGGCGAGCCGTGAGTTTCCGAGGCTGCTTTGCCTGGCTGCGGCGGGGGGGGGGNAAACAAAGTGGGTGGGGAGGGGGGGGGTCCAAAGCTGGTTGTGTGTGTGTGTTGGTGGGTGGGGAGGGTGTACAGGCAGTACTCGAGTTACGACCCCAGTTGAGCCCGACGTTTCCGTCGCTTGAGCGCGACGTTTGTTGGGTTGAGTTTTTGTCCCGTTTTGCGACCTTGCTTGCCAGCCTTAAGCGAATCCCTGCAGCTCGGTTAGTGACAACATTGTTAACTGAATCTGGCTTCCCCCATTGACTTCGCTTGGTGTAGGGTTCCTGCCTGGGCAGGGGGTTGGACTCGATGACCTCCAAGGTCCCTTCCAACATTATTATTATTATTATTATTATTATTATTATTATTATTATTATTATTATTATTATTATTATTATTATTATTTTATTATTATTATTATTAAGGTTGCAAAAGCGGATCACATCACACACACACTCACGCACACCTAGGACGCTGCAACGGTCATAAATATGAACCAGTTGCCAAGCGTCTGAATTTTGATCATGTGACCGTGGGGAATGCTGCCACGGCTGTAAGTGTATAAACCAGGGGTAGGCAACCTTGGCTCTTTTATGACTCGTGGACTTCAACTCCCAGAATCCCTGAGCCAGCCATGCTGAGGGGAAAGGGAGAGGTTTCCAAGCTGAGCCAGGCTGGCTCAGGAGTTCTGGGAGTTGAAGTCCACGAGTCATAAAAGAGCCAAGGTTGCCTACCCCTGGTATAAACGGTCATAATTCACTTTTTTTTCAGTGCGGTTGTAACTTTGGATGGTCACACGAAAACTGTTGAAAGTCGAGGACTACCTGTGTTAACCTAGCACAGGAGGAACCAACAGAAAGGCCATCGTTGTGTAATTCTGCTTCATTCCTAGGATCTTTTTGTAGAAATCTAGAAAAGTCCTTCCTTCCTTCCCTTTAAGGCTGAGGATAGAAAATTCCACAACTATTGTGTGAAGTAGGTTGGTCTGAGAGAAAGTGTCTATATTTGCATCACCTCAGAAATCATAAACTATGGCTAACAAACTATGATAAAACAGGCATTTAAGTCCTTCTTCCCCCTTCCTTCCTTCCTTCCTTCCTTCCTTCCTTCCTTCCTTCCATCCATCCATCCATCCATCCATCCATCCATCCATCCATCCATCCGTCCCAGCCAGTGATGGGCTCATAGTCCCACCAGCCCACCAGGTTGAGGATTAAACTTCAATCTAAGTCTCTATGCTTTTCATTAACATCTTCCCTTCCTACATTTGCCCACAACTTCCTTTATCATTTTTTTCCCCACCACAAAAAGGAGAAAAAAGGTAAAATGGTGACAGTAGGAGAGAGAAGTCTTTGATCTTCCAGATGTGGTGCTTCAACAGCTGCAACTGCCTGGCTGGCAATCAGGATGATGGCATAGACTCTTCAAAGAATGTGCTATGGGCACCCAGTTTCCATACAGCATTTTTCTCAAACTCGGCAACTTTTAAAATGTTTAGCTTTCCAGCTCCCAGAATTCCCCAGCCAGCTAAGGCCACGGATCTTAAAATTGCTGAGAGTGAGAAACACTGAGCTAGATGTACCAATAAGCTTAAATTTAGTGGTTTATCAAACGAACCACCATCAACTGGGCTCATGCAATGCTCTCCGTCAAAACTGAAGGAATGACATTTGATTTAGCACAATATGTAACTCAGTTACGGTTCTTGAATGGGAGAACTGGAAATCTTTTATCCAAAAGCAGGCTCAGACTTTAATAGTTTCCTGAAGATACATCTAGTCTTTCTGTATCTCCAATCAGTTTCCATCAATTATAATTATGGATGTGCGGTACAGGTGGTCCTTCACCAAAATAGGAGCTGGAAAATTTGTCATTTAAGCAGTGCAGACATTAACTGAGGCCTCATATGACCGCATTCCAATTTTACCAGCTGTTTTGCTGTGGTCATTAAGCAAATCACCATGGTTGTTAAATGAGACAGCCCATGACCTCGACTTGCGATCTTCCCTGTTTTGCTTGTTGAAAACCTGCTAGGAGGATCACAAATGGCAATTGTGGCTTCGGGACACTGGGGCTATCGTTGTCATAAATATGCAAGGGTTACCAGGTGCTAAATTAAGGTAGCAATAGCACTTCACAGTGCTTTACAGCCTTCTCTAAGCGGTTTACAGAGTCAGCATATTTGCCCCCCCAACAATCTGGGTCCTCATTTTACCGACCTCGAGAGGATGGAAGGCTGAGTCAACCTTGAGTCGGTCAGGATCGAACTGCCGAACTGCAGGCAGCCTGCACTCAGCAGAAGTAGCCTGCAGTATTACATTCTAACCACTGCGCCACCACGGCTCGAGATTAGATAATCTTTATTGTTATTTTTTACTGTGGGCACCCTGGCACACGTTAAAAATGAAATTCTGTTGCCTGTTCTCAAAAAAAAAAGTATATATCTACTCATACACATACATAACATATACGCATGCTATTACTTACATACATAAATATATATATATACCTACACCCATACATATATATACATACATATTCAGATTTCTTTTTGCTGACAAAGAATTAAAAGATTTAAGTGGGAGACTAGTATAGCTATTTCGGACTCATTAGTCCTCATCAGCTAGCCACACCCTTTATGGGATTCGAACCTGGGCAGTCTACATGCTAGGCAGTTGTATTAACCACCATGTAGACTGCCCAGGTTCGAATCCCATAAATGGGTGTGGCTAGCTGATGAGGACAAATGAGTCCGAAATAGCTATACTAGTCTCCCACTTAAATCTTTAACTCTTTGTCAGCAAAAAGAAATCTGAATTTGTAATGTATCGCAGTTGCGACTTGAGCCTGCTTAACGCCCCTAATTGGGGGGCTGCAAGGCAAAAGAGATTATTAAAAAGTAGAACTGCAGTATAGCAGTCAAAATGCCAAGGTGCAATCAATCAGACCGGTCTGTCTGAAAAACTTTCTGTATACATGCATATATATATATTAATCGCTGTCCATTTTGAATACATAGTGGAAAGAGGAAGCTTGAGAGTTCACAAGGTTGATACTGTATGGAACAAAACTGTGGCTGAATCTGGATGTTCTGCATCGGATACCACAAAGCCCCCCTCCCAGAAGGCAACAAGGAAAGCAGATTGTGGAGAGGATGTGTAGCGTCCCAGACAGTCCTGCAGACCTTACTCAAGCAGCGCTTATATGTCATGTCCTGGATGGAAGGGAGAGAACTGCCAATAATATTTTCTGCCGTCCTCACCACTCTCTGCACCGCCTTCCTGTCTTGAAGCAGTAACGCTTCCAAACCGGGCTGTAATGCGATACGACAGGATGC